ACTAAATAAAATCTAATATAATAATACAATTAAAAATATCATCATATATAAACAATAAATTAATTTTTGAAGATTGTGTAATAAAAACAAAATTTCTTGACTATACAACAAATAAATATATGAAAACTTCAAGTTGTTGGCTTCAGCCTTTTTTAAAAATAATTCATGTTCATTATCATATTTATTATGCCAATCTTTTAAATATTCTTTATGGGTTTGCTCAACCCTATGATAAATCTCGGATTGTTTAATTTTTTCATACTCGCTTAAAATATGGAGATTAGAATAAACTTTTCTCAATTCAGGATCACGTGTCTTCTTTTTCTTTTTTTGTTATTTTCATCAAAAATATTAGCAAGACGTTCCAATTCATTTTTTGATAAATCAGAATAATTAACTAGAAGTAATTTCTAGTAATATGCTTTTTTAGTGATAACTTCATTTTGATTTCTCTACAGATTTAATTTTATAGAAGTTGCCAGATTGGTATAATCATCTTTTAATTTCTGAAACAAATCTTTGTAATAATATCTGCCAGGTTCCAAATCCATATTATTAAAAAAAAAAAGATTATAAGGAAATGTTATACTTAAAGAGAAATTAAAATTATCATATTTATATTGTGATAATTATATATTTTTATTAATTCAATTACTTGTATATTATTAATAAAGTTTATCAAATTAGAAATTTATAAGTATTTTTGTTGTTTTAGATTTAAATGATGTTTAATACGTTGTATTAAACGTTGTTTAAATTGGAAAACCGAACACTTTCATGATCCACCTATTTTTTTAGCAGTGTAAACTGCGTTAAAAATTGGGAAACGCCATCGTATATGCAGCATTTGGTCGCTATCGCTCCCATGCTTTGTATTGATGTTTTTCCTAATTTTTGGATTTGTTGGTCTAGTTTAACGAATATATTTAATTATTTGTTATCAATTAATAATTCAAAAGATATTTATAACAAAGTTTAATTTCATTTAGAAATATAAGGATAAAATGAATGGAGTCTGGTATAATGATTCTAACACGAATCCCAGAAGACCTATAAGAAGTAGTTATTTTGGTTGTATTACCCATCTATATCAAATCGCATTATTTGATAAACATGATAAACTGACGAATAATTATATTACCGTTAATGAAGATGATTTAAATTTGATCAAAAAACTCAAGTGGTATCTAACAAATGATATTGTAGTAAATGAGAATGATGTTGCTTTAACAGAAATCCTTACCGGTGCCACCAATGTTAAACTGAAGGAAGGAAAAAAATGTTTTTCACAAAAGAATCTCGTGATTTGTGGTAAGAGTGATTTTATTATTCAATATTTATTATTGTTAATAATAAGTATTAACTCTTACATATGAGAACCGGCACATAAAATGTGATGTCTCATTTCTTTATTTAGATAATTTGACAAATAATAAAGATATTTGCATATTTACAAAAATTAAAAAAAAGACGAGATACTTGGAATAGGAATTTATTGTCCTTTATATCCAGATAAAAGTATTTTCAAAGTTGTGAATGAAGATTATTCTATTCAAGAATCACA